ACCACCACCACAAAAAAAAAGGAGGAAAGAAAATATAATCTTCAGGGGAGGGGGTAGAAGTGTATAGTATTTTTTGTGTGCGCGCACAGCAGGGTTATGTTTGAAATATCTTCTTTTGCTGTGATAATCTGGAATACTATTTCTGCTTGAGCTTCTAAATCATGAAAATCTTGCAGGTATTTGAATGCCATTCAAACAAGTGCTCCCCACTTGCTACGATACTTGGCGACTGCATTTATTGTGAACAAGCGGAGAAGACCTCAATTTAAGGACTTTATAAAAGTTATTCAGCAGGAACAATACTCTTGCAAAGATCCCATCACAGAGTTTTTGGCGTGTATTTACGTCAACTATGACTTTGATGGAGCACAGAAAAAGATGAAGGAGTGCGAAGAGGTGAGCTTTTGCGCCTAGTTTATCTGCTTTGATGCGTGCTTAACATCATAGTTTTTCTTCATTGTATTGCTCATTTCTTGTATTCCAAATGTAGAAACTTCAGTTGTTGTAATTGGCTTTAAGATAATTTATGAAATGAGGATTGTGGTTTGAACTAAGAGGACTACTCTTATATATAATTGTAAATGCTAGTCCCCTATTAGCTCTGATCAGTAGTCAATAGTAGTCTGTAGCTGTGGTTAAGTAGGATGCTTCTTCCAGTTTCTATCATAGGAAAAGGTAGAACTTGATCCCACTATAATTGTTGACGGAAAGATAGTCATTTTTTTTTTCCAAAAATCTTCCTATTTTTATTCCCTATTTGTTACGTGGAATATTTTACTATCTTATGCTTTTTTTTTATAATATAAATAATTTTCTTATCTTTTACTATTTTTAGGTATTGCTATAATGTAAACTTTAAAAACCAGTAATGCATTTATTAAGGATGTTATAATGTTTGAGTTATGGGCATGGATATTACAGTGGGGCAATGTTTTGCACAATATTGTGTTATGTTAATTTTCTATTTTTTCTGGAAAACATGGATTGTTTTCCTAAAACCTAAAAATCAATCATCCAAAGCTGTATGCTCTCTGCTAACTTTCTGAAAGAGCTAGCTCAATGTTACCTTTGCATAATACTCGCAAGTTTGGTACTTGAACATTCTAGTTTCTGTTACCCGTAGCTAAGCATGTTTAATCTAAGTCTGTGAGCTCTTCCTTTTTTATGCAGTTGTTTCCCTCCTTTTTAATATGGATGTCACGTGCAGGTAATTATGAATGACCCATTTCTGGGAAAACGAGTTGAAGAGGGCAGTTTTTCCAGTGTGCTATTGAGGGATGAATTCCTTGAAAATGCTCGCCTTTTTATCTCTGAGACCTATTGTCGCATTCACCAACGCGTTGACATGGGGTATGTAGCTAATGCATCAACAATTTCTATATCTATTTGGTTTGCTTTCTACCCTCTTTCCCCTTGTGTTTAATATTCTATATCCCCCTTTATTACCCATGAAAGGGATGTTGGCAGTATAGTTGCTGGCGGAAGGAGAACTGTGTCCATTTAGTCACAATTTTCTTTTGATTCATATATGGCAGGGTTCTAGCTGAGAAACTAAACTTGAACTACGAGGAGGCCGAGCGATGGATAGTGAATCTTATTAGGACCTCAAAGCTTGACGCAAAGATTGATTCCGAGTCAGGAACAGTTATAATGGAACCAACTCAACCAAATGTGTAAGTTTGATGCAGATGTATTAACTCTAATAGATTAATGAAAGCAACTTGTTTTTAACCCATTTTATCGTATCTGATTTATAATGCACTATCTTTATTGATTGTCTTGTTCAGGTATGAGCAGCTCATTGATCATACCAAGGCCCTTTCTGGTCGTACTTACAAATTAGTCAGCCAGCTTCTTGAACATGCACAAACACAGGCTGCTCGCTAGTTTGGTTGAGGAAATCAAGCCAGTGTCAATTTTGCATTGCTCCCGTGCGGTCTTATTAACCTTTATATTGAAGAATGTTTTTTCACTTTTGTAATGCCTGGATTTTCCTTGGAGGAACATTTCGAGATTCATGGTTCATTAAATATCTTGTCTCACTATTCTTTATCTTGCATCTCCATTGGAAGTGGAGCACCCCTGTGTGTATACTCGTTTTGCCTGGGAGATTTTTTTTTGGCTGTATTGCCTAGGTATTATGGTTCATATGATGCTCTTTGCACTTTTTATTGATTAGGTATACAAAATTATCAAGAGAAAACTGGGACATCAGTAGCAATTATAGTTGTTCTATGGAATTGTCAGTTAAGCTTCCTATCATACCCCACCTTAGAAGATCACCTTCTTCAAACCAGCTTGAACCTTTTACTTGTAGGTCGATGGTGACTCACCAAAACAAGCCTCTCTATTCTGAAGATTCCGATAATGTTACTTCACTCTTTAGCTTCAGTGTTTTATTAAGTGGTGCTTGCCAGGCAGACGACTGAGTTGAGTATACTGATATCATTACAACAACCCAGGGATCCCACAAGTGGGGTCTGGGGAGGGTAGGATGTACGCAGCCGTACCCCTACCTTGGAAGGAAGGGCAGAGAGACTGTTTTCGATACTGATATCATTATGAACAATTAATGATGCTTGGTTGGAAATTGTTCTTGCCTCTATCATTAGCTTGTGTTGTCCCTATTTTTGTGTTTTAGTCGCCTTTGAATGGCTGGCTCACTTTGACATGTCTTCATTAGTGATCGCCTAGAGCCCTCTTCCATCAATTGGTACATAAGGCATCGATCATACCTCCCTGGGAGTGTAGGAACATCCACAAGAGATCTGCTTGACAAAGTGGTGTAGGCAAAATAGCTGAGTGCTCTATATAACACGCCTCTGTCGCAAGTCATTTTATGTAGTCTAATGTAGAAAGGAAAGAAGAAAAGATTTAATATATGTAAGATTTAATATATGTATATATGCACTGTATCTATCTGACTTATCATTTGACTTGGCAAGAATGGAGGAATTCACTTAAGAATGTACATTTGTTCATTACACTTAGGCATGCCACTGATGTTCAGGCAGCCTTTCTCTTTTTGTCTGAAATGTCTGGCATTTAATAAATGCTTCTCTAGTATGCGAGTCAGCAAACTTATAATTTTCTGCAGCTTTAACGACCGATGGTACAACCACAGCAATAATTCTTTCTTTAGAGAATTTGGTAGCGACTGACCTCAGCAGCTATATTTGTTTAGCCAGCATTACCATCTTTGTAGTATTTTCCATAAACAAGTCTTTGCAAAAGAGTAGTACAACAGTTATACTACTAACTACAAATATATGTACACTTCTAGTTTTGGAGCATTATGTCCATTCATCTAAAGCTAAAAACTCTATGTACCAAGTTATTTATTTTTAAGAGGTTATTGTTGTTCACAGGCTTCTGCCCTTCTGAAAATTCTCTGGCCAGGAGCAAGTATTGCCAAAGGGTCATATGTGGATTTCCTTCTAGCAAATGGTATCCACTGGGGGCCAAAGTGATCTTTCCACTCTTCCTGAGTCTTGTAATTTGGCAAATATTGTTTCATTCCAATTTTTGTTTCTTCACAAAAATTTAGTATTCTTTTGTTCTGAGCAAGAATATGTCTTAGTCCATCGTTTCCTGTTGAAGATGGTATTGCCGAAGATAGGAATGCGATCAGGTAGAAAACATCTTCGTCAGGGGTAACCATGGATGTTCCTTTTCTCCACCTATAACAGAAATTACCCCAGATAAACTATTAGGTCAATGCATATTTCTATAAGTAGATTGGTTATTTATGAAGAAATTTATTACTTTGATTTGTTCACTGGGTAGATGAGTAGAGGACCATTGCTAGTGTCAGTAAGAATCTTGCCAAAAACTTGTTGTGCAAATTCAAGAGTCCTGCTTTTTGGTATTAGAAGATTTAGCCATGGATGAGGAACATCCCACAACCCTTTTTCTTGGAGTTTCATCTCAGAGACATGCACTCTGTCGAGAAATTCCACGTAGGAAACTTCTGATAGGAACAGCGTGGATCGCATATAATTCAACTTTGATAAGAGAACATCAATATCCTATAGTATTTAAGAAACATGGGTCAATATGTGGACATGTTTAGGTGAACATTATATTAAGTTGTCAAAGTCTGGAAGTTTGATATGATTGTAAAATATTTTACCTGATCAATACTATCTGTGTCTTCTTGATTGAAGTATTTGGCAACTTCTAGGCAGAACAAAACTCTACCCTCAGAACTGAAATTGCTGGCTAGAACTGGATCTTTAGGATTGAAACTAGACCTCCAGCTATTCAATAATCCAGTTTGGTTGATAATGACAAACCCTTCAATATAATCAAATGTATCCTGACTTGATATCAAGTGCTCTTGATCATTGGAAAATATGGCAAAATCTGAATACAGCACTCTAATCCACTTTACCTGTCAATAAGTAAATCTTAGCTATGCTAAATGAGCTTGTTTTTTTCCCTTCGTGTAATCTTACTTCTTTGGTAATTGGAGTTCAACCATTACCTGTTTAGGTGCTGTTTCAAGAGCAATCCTTGCTCTGGTAATAATACCAAATTGCCCCAGTCCACCTAGTACACCATGAAACAAGTCTGCATTCTGCTCCTCCGAACAAGTAATCACCTCTCCTTTACCTACAACAAGTATTTTTTACTATTGAACAAATTTTTTGTCTTAATTACCACCTGAAGTTGACATCTTTTATTCAGTGCACGCCTGAACTATTTTTGGTCTTAATTACTCTCGAACTTGGCTGTTTGATAGCCTTCGCCCCCTTAACATTGACATGGCGTGTGAAAGTTATGAGAAATCAAAAAATCAACTTCCAAGTGGAATATTTTTCAACGGTCAATTGCCACATAATTTGTTCTAACTATGTATTTTTTCTTACTTCTTAATATACCGCACATATTTTACATCAGTTTGTAATTTTAATTTTTTTTCTGGTGCAATCGCTATTTATTTTACAGTGCTTTTTTTCTTTTCGCCAAATATGTATTAAAAAAGATTTGAATAAAATCAATTAATTTTAGCGAGATAATCCCCCCCCCCCCCCCCTCGTGTTTCAAGTATGTATTTTATTTTATTTCTTCTTTAGATACTAGATATTTATTCAAACTGTTTAATTTTAATATTCTTCTTTTTTCCTGCGAAATCTATACAAAATTTACTAAAAATCCATTATTTTTAGCGAACTACAATTTTTAAGCTAAAATAGTGTATTTCAACTGTGTATTTTTGTATTTCATCTTTAGATGCGATGACGATTTATTTCAACTGCATATTTCTTTTCCTTTTTTATAGTCAAATATGTATAAAAGAAATTGGGGTGAAACTCAATTATGTTCAGCTAAATAAAAAAATCCTAATATAATAAAGTCCCAAATATGTTTTTTTTTCACAAATTTGGCTTGAAAAATGATTTAAATGGTAAAAATATATATTTTATTATTTACAAAAATCACGTGGACAAAATATATCTATGTGGCAACGAGTGCATCACACTTCCTCAGACTGAGATTATCATTCAGGGAGGCGAAGTCCTGCAAACTGCCAAGTTGGAAGGGGTAACTAAGACCAAAACTAGTTAAGGTGTGTACCGAACAAAAAGTGTCAAATTTAGGAAAATTATCTTATAGAGGCACTTTTTATGTTTACCAGATGCGTATATACACGCGAAAAAGAGCTCATAAGCTAATTTGACCAAGCGTATAAGCTTACTCAAAGATGGTTGTGCATGAACATACCAGTGACAACTTCAAGTTGATGGACGTTATTGATCTGGGGTCCATGCCGGAAAGCTTGTCCACTGATTCCAGCATTAGACAAAGTGCCACCAACTGTGAGGTGAAGATAATCAGTCCAAGATTTAGGCGCAAGCCCAAGTTTAAGACTTTCATGCAGGATGTTTATCCAAAGCTCTCCAGCAGATACATCAACATAAGGTACTTCTCCAGTCTTGAATTTCATTGCTGGTGTTTGTAGTGATTCCATACTAATCACTACTCCTTGGTAAGCTTGAGATTGGCCTTCTAGAGAATGGCCATGGCCTCTAGCAGCAACAGTTAAGTCAGTTTTGGAACCCATTTCAAAGATAAGTTTTATAGTGGAAGAGATATCAGAAACTGATTTTGGGTACAAAACTGCTAATGGGAGGAAGTGACATCTATTACCAAAGTCTTTGGCTGCATATTCTAAGTTCTCAAAATTAAGGTACCCTTCAAGTTGTAATTGTTTCAATGATAAATAATTCAGTGAGAGACTTGAGGGGGTGGCAAACTGATGATAGTTACAGCAGAGTTTATTTTTGTTGCTTGAACAACTGCAGAGTATGAATATAAGCAATTTCAGGAGCAACTCATTTTGCTTAAATAAAAAATGGGGTGGTAACTTCATTCCTTTTAAATAAATAAATATGTGTGAAAGGGAAGTTTTAGTGGGAACAAAGGAAATCTTGGTTTTTTTAATACTTTACCTTTTGTTTGAGAGTATATGCAGAGGTGTTGAATGGCTTCAAGAAAGGAAGGGTGGTGAAGAGAATATATAGGTGTATGTCTGAGATGTCACTATTAATGAGCCGGGGTCTGCTGGAAATAGTCTCTTTACCTTCGCAAGGTAGGGTAAGGTCCAGTGACGGAGCCAGAATTTTCGTTAAGGGGTGTCAAAATATATAAAAGTAAACATATAAGGAAGTTAAGGGGAGTCAATACATAGTATATATACATATAATTTATTTTTTTACGTACCTACACAGTGTATTTTTCCCGCAAAGGGGTGTCATTTGACACCCCTTCCTATAAGGTAGCTCCGCCACTGATAAGATCTGCGTGCATTCTATCCTTTCCAGACCCCAATATATGAAATTACACTGAATTTGTTGTTATTGTTATGGTTGCCTGAGATGTCACTGTCAATGTTGGACACTTGTAGTCAAGGACTATGATGTTTGTAATGTTTGCAAACGGAAACAACAATTAATGCCTCCTTTCCTCAAGGTGGTTCCAGCTATATGATTTTTCACTATGTTACTTTATATAAACTCATCTACCTGCGCCTGTATGGTCCGATCGTTTAGCCGAGCTTACCAAGCCTAATCTACAAAAATAGGGCTACATCAAGCAAAGCAAGCTTTCTCTCGCTATTATTTGCTAATGTATGCTTTGAGAAAATTTATCTAATTTTGCCTCAACTTTCTTAACAAAAAATAGAAGAGGAAATTTCACATATTATTAAATTGTCGTTGATCCAGGGAATGGATTGTTGATTTCATTGTACGGTCTTGGACAATCTTGAAGTTATGAAAGTAGATTTTGTGATTGAGTTAGGCTCAATGTTTATTTTCTTAATATTATCAAAGCCAAATTTTATTCCTGTTCCTTTTTCTTAAAAATAATTATTCCTATTCTTGGTTAACCTAATATTAAGTCTCAATCTTCAGAAGTCCAGCCCTGGATGTACCAGGCGACAATGTAAGATTGTCCCACATTAGTCGAGGGATTGAGCTGTTGTCTCTTTATATGGTCTTCGACAATGCCTGCCTCCTAGTTTTTGAGGTGAAGTTACACCTCAAAATCTTTTTTTAACACCAACTATTAGTGCTTCCCACTTACCAACTACCATCTAATAGTTTACTGTCTTATTGCTATTTTGAGTAATTTTTATCCGCAGAATAGGGGTTTTGAACCAATTTTAGATTGTCCAAATTAGGTAAAGCTATGACACCATTTCCTTTATAGAAGCCATTCCATATGAGTGTGATATGTGCTATTTTACATTCTGTTCAATGAATCCTAATTTGAGAGTCATAGAGTCTTAATGGCTACAATTATTTGCTCATTCTCCCTGTTGTATTCACCCTTTCAACTTACTAGCCACGGCCACAATTCTATCTTTCTCAACGAGTAAACGGCTCTGAAATTTCTCTTCACATGGATGCGTCTTTGATTTTGTGTTACTTTCTTTGATAGATCATTTCATCCACTAGAATATCAGATATTCCATCTGTTTCAATTTAGATGACACATTTCATTTATCGAGAGTCAATTTGACTAAACTTCGAAGCTAAATTGGATTAGCTCAACTCAATATTTTAAAATTAAAATTTAGATATTCAAAAACTATACGAGAAATACTACAAGTTGCAATTTTTCTTATGTTAAAAAAAAAAAAAAGTATTTTAAAATACTGGTCAAACTTATACAATTTGACTCTCGATAAGCGAAATATGTCATCTAATTTGAAATGGAGTGAGTAATATGTTTGATGGATTTTAGTGCTCATTTTGAGAGCCTAAGAATGGGGAGGCCCCTGCTAAGTTCATTGCTGTTCGAGTGGCTGATGAAATTGGATGTAGTGGTGGTCCTCAACTTGTCATTTTTGAAGGGTTATAAATATTTTTTACCTTCTTTCTGCATTTGGGGTTTGCGAAATATTAGGAAAAAAGATTCTTGAACCAAAATATTCTGAACTTAAATGACTTGTATGGAAATCCAAACAATTCATGCGTGCTGAGGTAGGATTTTCGCTAAGGGGTTAAAAAAAGAAAAAAGTTAAAAAATTTAAAGAATTTATGGCTGGAATTGAACCACAACAACCTCACAAAGGTTTTGAACCCCCTTGACCATTGAGCTAAGTTTTTGGATTGTGTCAAGGAGATTCAAAATATAATACATAGATTCACAAAACGAATTTAACTTTATATGTATAATGTAATTTTCCCGCGAAGGGGGGTTAGAACCCCCTTACGTCCCCTAAATCCGGCCCGGTCTTTTAAGTATAGTGGTTTTGAATATAAAAGGTTTAGTTGAGTCACCCATAGAAGAATTTTGATCTTAGAATAATATATATAAAAATGGATTTGACATCAGTATGCAGACATCCAATAGATGATTTAGAAAACCATACGCTAAGGGGTCGTTTGGTTGCCGGTTAAAGTTATGCAGGTATTAGTTATACATGTATTAGTTATGCAGGTATTAGTTATGTATGTATTAGTTATGCAAGAATAAGTAATGCAGGGATTACTTATGCATGCATTAGTTATGCAAGGATTAGTCCTTGAGTAGTGCACGTGAAATTCAAAAAAAAGGTCATGCTAATTGTAGTGTATATAATTCTTTCTTGGATTTTGGTTGAATTTCTTGCTATATTGTTACACACTTTATTTAGTAATTCAAAAATATCATAGTACAAGATTGTTATTTGCGGTAGAAAACGAACAATGAAAAGTTTGCTGGAGAAAATGGCAATGATTTGTGGTAAATTGATAGGGGTAAATTTGTCATTTCAGTATTTTATCCATGTATTACTAATACATGTATTAGTTATTCCATCTTCTCCCCCGCATAAAATAACACACAGATTGACTCATAACTTATACATGTATTATTTATGTAGAATTGTAAAATGCCAACCAAACATGGTATTAGTTATGCTGAATTTTTTACAAAATAACTAATGGCTACCAAACATGGTATAAGTTATGTTACCCCTAATACATGAATAACTTTTCCCCTAACCGGCTACCAAACGACCCCTAATTACATTGTTTCTTGCTTTCTCAGAAATGATTTTTTCGTTGAACATGCATGTCATTTTAGGGGTTTTCTTTCAGCATCGCGTGTTCGAAATTCATTGGTCCACTTAGTTTGGATTCACGCTGCAGAAAACACATTTGGGTGTGTGTGTGGGTTGGGGGCGGGGGGGGGGTTATTAGTGTCTCCATATACCACAAAGGACTCCATATTCACAAAACCTCTGACCTTAAAAACTTTTAGCATTCCATCACACCCTTTAATGCATGGACGTTCATGTCGTTCATGTATATACCCCATAGTTAAATTACAATTTTTTTGTTGATCTTTATGTAAGGGGAGAGTATTATAGGTTTAAGAGTAATTTCTGTTGGTATTTCTTGGACGTGTAGGGGCCTGGTCTTTGGCTCAATAAGGAAGCATTGCAGAGAAAGCAAGCAGAAGTCCACATTGGATATCGCAGTTTTTTTGACTGGAAAAAACACTAAAATCCAACCAATTCACGCCATTGTCTTGTGGTATTTGATCCAGGCAAAGAGACAACTTTAATATGTTCTCTTCTTGAAATATTTCTGAGTCGCTTTTTTTCTTAAGGATATTTACGTTGCTAGACATTATAATGTATATTCGGTTATTGAGCTTCTAACTGCTTTACTGTTGGAAGACATACGAATTGAATTCATCATTGACAGACACATTTTAAGCAACATTTCTGCTCTTGATTATAGTCTAAAATGACATAAAAATAAAGCTTCAATAAAAATGAGAAAATCTAGAATTTTTTTACATTAAATTAAAGTGAAAACTACTGAATGAACCCTTTTGATTGATTGGTCTTCAGTTGTCAGCTGACGATTGACGAACAATCTATATATTGTGGCCACCAAAAAATATCCAAAGCTAAATGGCTGATCTAAGAAAGAAGCTAATTAATACAGCAAAACATATTGGCTATGGCGTCCAGGATCTCAGCACTTGATAATTAGAGTAATTAGATCAACATGATTCCCTGCATAACTTATCGCTTTGAGCCGACCATGGGCGAAGCTCATGTTATAAAGGTCGTCAGAAAATTACACTGCGTATATAGGTAAAATATTAGATATTAAAAATGTATGACATATATTGAACACTCTTTCTCGGAGAATATTTTTCACTTCTTTCAAGCTTGAACACCCTTGAGTAAATTCCTGGTTTCGCCACTAGGGCCGACCATTAAATGCGCCCAGGTATAGGAAAAATTTGACCTTCGTTCGTACGTAGGCTTCTCTATAGTACAAATTGGTGGTTTCCTGGTCACACCAGCTAAGTTCCATTAAAGAGCGTGTGATGCGCCATTGCCAGACTACATGCATATTGGCATCTCGATCGCTCTAACCTGAAATATGCAACATGTACAATATCTCCTTTGATCCTCGTTGTGTGGGCTTGACGCAGTGGTAGATCCTAGACTTTGGATTCGTGGGTGCTTAACTTTTTTGACGTGCAGTTACTACCAATCACATAGTATAAGTGCACAACTATTTGAACATGTCCGTCAAAAATTTAATAAAAAGACTCATATTAATATTATGGACGCGTGTAACAAAAAATGCATTTTTTTGGATGGATTTTGCTACTCTACTAGAGGAACTGTTCGTTTTTTTTGGGTGCTTCTTGGTTTAATTTATCAATTTCCTTAAATTTTTTATATAACTATACACACCTTGTGTTGAGGTTAATGGGTGCTGAAGCACCTACATTTAGTACGTAGCTCCGCCCCTGGCTTGACGGTCCTCATCACTCACAAGGCGCTCACTTTAGACTTCTTACTCCAGTTGTTCCGAGAGTTGTCAAATGTAAAACATGTATATGAAAAAAAAG